GAGAATAGTAAAATAGATGAGTTCATGCTAATCGTTTTTAACAGCATTTCATTTATAACACAAACGTTTACATAATAACAATAGCAAATTCATCAGAAACCTTCTTCACAAGCGAATCAACCAACATATCAGCTGAACACGGTGGTACATACGAAAAGGAAATAGACGAAAAAAATGAAAAGATGACATCGATATCTTGAAAAGTATCATAGATCTCTTTGATTTGCTTTTTTTACGTTGATGGTTCGGATAATACTTTGAGCATCGATCTGAATTGATTTTGACTTTGTTCCATCTCAATAAGGTTCTATGATTTTTAAGTGAAGTAGATGAGTTTAATCTATATTGATATAATTTATACTCAAGCGATAATTTCTTTTTCTTTTTCGAAAACTCGAATAAGAAACCGAATAACATACTAAATTAAAGATACGAAATGTTTTTTTTTTTTTTTTGGGTCAAAACGAAATGTTATAAAACTAATTTTAAATTAAAGAAAAAAACTAGTTTTCATTTTATTTATATATATTTCTAAATCTTTAAAATCTAAAAGACTAAAGCTACAAAATCGATCTGAAAGTCAGATTAGGCACGAATAAGTGAGTTATTGTTACCAATAACAACTATAAGTTAATTATTAATGTCTACATACCAGGACATATTATTGAACCAAATCAATTAGAAAAATAACTATTTATGAAAGAAAAAAAAACACACCGTCTTCGAAGTTAAGCATTCGTGTGGTAAGTGCCCATACTATTTATGGTTATCACTTTATATACCAAAAGAGTCAAAAAAGCATAAAACATAAGATTCGTTATTCACCTTCTAAGAAAAAAGAAAGATAACTCTCTAAACATGAACTTACCTTGCAAGCAAAGTATTCTTATCTTCATCTATTATTTCTCATTACTTTACCTTATCTTCACTAAGATTTCTGTTGTAATAATGTTGATAATGATATGCGATTCTAGAAACAAAATTTACACTAAAGTTTTACATAGCTTATCATAACTATGAAAATTTTCTGTCAAAAAAAAACCAGAGGGTCTACTAATAAAAATCAATATATGACTGATATATATAGTGAATATAACGTTTAAAATCAATTCTAATTCAGCATACGTATTTTGAAGAAACAAACAAATATTGAAACTATCAAACTTCGATAATAATGATCCATTTTTTTAAGAGAATGTCAACTATATAAATATTAAAACTAGCTAGTTGAAGCAATGGCATGGTAAATCATCACATTGGCCTAACGAAGCTTACCAAATTGCACAAATGAATATATACGGATCAAATTTTAAGATCCGAAAGGAATCTTTAGGTTTGTCAAAAACTCGAAAGTG